CACTAATGTGTAAACGCAGTCCACGTGGACTAATGCAAAATAGCCAATACTAGGCCAAACTCCGCCCCCAAAGGTGTGCGGTCCCGCTCTAGAACCTTTCGGCCCCATCGGCCATCTGTTCTACGAGCAATGTGCCGTGCCCACTGTCACTTAAGTTTGGCATTTCTTCGGGCTATGTCGGTGACGCTGGTTCTTCTGCGGATTTCTTCATTTTTGATTCGAACATGCACGGAAACTATGAGCATAGCCCTTTCCATTGCTCTTGACAGCTCTAATAAGCTTACACAATACTAGGCCCCATGCCAACCTTCCAGCTTCATCATCACATCAGTTCAATAGTACCTTACAGCCAAAGTGCATCTTATAACAATTCTAACAAGCCCAAACACGGCTAGGATATATTAATTAGGTACGCAGTTCCAGTGCCTACCTTCCAGCTCCATAATCATCATTAAATCAGTTCGATGATAACATTTCCAACATAATTATTTAAGATCATTGGTTTACAGTGCATTTTCATAGTTGCTGAACTACCTTGATTGTGATATCTATGCGAGTGTCAAGTTTCATCACCCATTTCTGATCTTCTTCACCAGTTCCACCCCATCAAATATTACTTTTTGACTGTAAATGCTTGAGTGCTCTATGAAAATATTAAAATTACTATATAGTTGCCTATAATATTTGAGGAGTTCCCTCGATTTCTCATGGATCCCATCATCAAAACTTGATTTTGAAAAGAATGGGACCAATCTGGAAGCATATCCTTTCAATCATAAAAAAAATTTTGCAAATCCGTCCATAAACGACGGAGTTCTGAGGTAACAAACATAAAAAAATAAAATAAAAAAAAAAAAAAAAAAAAATACAATCGAATTGAGAACCTCCTCCTTTTTTTGAAGTCGGTTAAAAACCAAATACTGTATCAATCGATTTATATCGAATGTAGAGTAGTCATACAAGTAAATGAAATTTGTCCAGAAACGATACAAGCGCCCCTTGAAGTAAGCTATGAATTATTAATACTCTAATAGCGAATTGTAAGCTCTTTAGGTCGAATACTGTTCAAATATTGTTGAGATGATAGTGTGAAACTAAACGCAATTTATGTATAATGTGTAGATCGGTTCCAATTACTCGATTTGAAAATCAAAAATAAGGTATTGTCTAGCAAATGACTTGTGGCCATTAACGTCTGATAATGACTGTCAGAATTTACAGACAGGAAGGTTTTAATATTTATTTTATTTTTATTATGTATTCTGTGAAGATTATAATTTGATGAACGGTTATATCATAATTCAAAAGATTTGTAAGTATATAAGAAATCTAAAATGTACATTTGGAATCTTATCTGATTTGAGTGGATTATGAACAGTTGCGTATCTTTGCTGTTTCTAAAACAAAAGCGATGAACTGCCAGACAAATCTTCTACTAAGAATTTGAATAGAATAGGCGATAGCTTAAAATCTTCTTTGTAAATTTTCTTCAAAATATTAAAAAAGTATGCATGATAAACATCATTAATTCAAAAGATAAACATAAAACTATATTTTTTCCAAAGAAAGCTATTTCAATACTTTATCCAGTCGTTTTTTTATGATCGAAAGAGTTTTAAGCAATCGTTTTTAAAAGAATTTGCGAGAAATTTATTTGTTACTTCAAATTGCTTTTTTTATTTTACTTTGTACATAACGTTTGTTTGTTTATTATATTAACTTACTGATTTGATTCTTTCACGCTGGTACAAAATAAGCGTTTATTTCTTTGAAGAAAAAATGTGCTGAACATCCAAGATTTTACTAATATATTTTTAAACTCATTATGAGTACTTTATTTTTTATACGAACGCTGGTTTTTAATATGTAAAATAAATTTTAATAGTTTTAATTTTGTTATTTATTCATTATTGACATCACCTACATACACTTTACACTGCATAATAAGTATATTCTTTTCAATTTCCAGAGGTCCAACCTGTGTTTAGGTACTAGGCAACCATAAACGCACACGTGGCAAATATTAATTAATTCAATTAACCAAAACGGATTAATAAGACGAGATGATGTTAGGGTCAACACGATAACTTATTAATACTGTTCGGTTACATAAACCTCAATTCTAATTAGTTTCTGTTGTACAAAATCAATTAAATGGTACTAACAGAGTTATTGGATCAGACCGCAACCTCAAGAAATGTTCTTAGATTCAAAGGGATGGACCGACCTCTCTATGCAGACCTATACGAACATAAATTAATATTAAATTCCACCATAAGTTGGCTTAACTTTGTGCTATGGTGTTATGCTTTATACTGACTGAGTTTTAAATAATGGAGACTTGCGTTTTATGATGTTTTCAGTAATGTATTTGCTGTTCTCCATTTTACTTTTGTAATCGTTGATTTTTAAATGGAGGTTAACCTCATCAAGTATATTATCATTTTCGTCATAAGTTTTTAGTGTGATAGATAGATGAATGTTCATTACTATTTCAAGTTGAAACTATTCAACGGATCTGAATGAAATTTAGCAATGATGGACATTACCTATAAGTGTGTACATTGAAGCTACTTTTACCCTAGTACCTACTAGCGGAGAATCTACATACCTTACTCTTAGATTTATGAATTACATAGCATTGACATTTAACATGGTGAAATATTAATTTTCGTCTTGCATAAACTAATGGTGGTAATATTGTTTAAATCTAGGTAATTACAAAAAAAATGTTTTACCTTTGAAAAATCACTTATGATATGCGTGTGGATAATACAGTATTTTCTATTATCTATCCAAGTCCATATTTATACTCTAACACCATTACAGAGCCAAATAAAACAGTTATCACAAATATGATTCCGATATATTCCCCAAAAACGATCCATAAACCTAGTATAAATGTCAATAGTTTCAATAAATGCTGCGTCCGTCCAGCATGGTTCTGAATTTGAGACACGTACGAAATTCACGTAAACGTCTGCTGCCGCCTTATTGATACAAATAGAGATATCAATTGTTTAGGACAAGGAGAAACAACAAGGTGGCAATGTTAGTAATTCTTCTGACGGGATGCAAGGGGACTTTATGGCCACTTTGATATCTGTGGGGTTAAGTTTAGTACGTTATACAATGAGATTTTTACGAACTTCGGGACCGTCGTAATGCTATTGACCTCACTTATGGGTGCCCTGAACACATTATGCCGATTGATAGGAGCATAGCTTGGTTTTAGATGATCTATTTTCGCAAATATTGGGTGGGTGATAATTTTAGGTATATTTTGTTTTATCGTTTATTTGTTTTGTAATCATACTTTCCTGTTCAATGTCATTAGCATACATTCGAATTGTTAAGTTATTAATCGGCAAAAATGTGCTTAATTACGTGCCTACATAATATTTAATTGTTATACTGATTACTGAGTTACCTGTTATCATTATGCTAACCATACATTTGATTTTATTAAATTTTATAAAGTTATAAAATATAACTTAATTCTGTGTTTTATATTTTAAACTAAATATTAAGCTTTACTGCAAGAAATTCAAAAACTGTAAATTTTATTTTCTAGGCATAAAAAATATGCTTTGTAAAATACTTATAATTTTATATATACAATTTATTAGTTCTCTTCAGTCCACTTATGCAATTAAAAATGTAATTTCATGCTTCATTTAATTAGTTACATTCTAATATTATTTTTTATCGTATATGAATACATTATTTTCATATTTAAATTAAATTTAAAAAATATGTATGTACATTATTTCGAGCTGTTTTAAAACAAACATTTCGTTTTGGCACCCTATTGTATATGAAACAAACAGTTGAAAACCTTATTTTTAGAGCAAAAAAAGAATAATCTCGTCTGAAAAATAATAACGTCAGTAGATTTTTTATTGTATTTGTGCTTTTTTAATATTTTAAATAGATAATTAAATTAAACATTATTTTTATTTCACAGTTTTTGAATAAATCGTTTGCCTCTATTGCACATAATATTATAGGTGGGATTTGTTTCATATGCATGGTATTTATACTATGATATTTTTACCTTGGAGTGTGATTAAGTTATTCAGTTAGCTTAAAATAACATGTTGTTGTAGGTATATTTAAACTTTTATCTAAATTTAAGAGTGTTTTAATTTAGGTCTATCTAAGTTCTTGACAATTTGGTTAAACGAATTGTGGAATTTTTTTTCAACAAAATCGAAGTACGTGCTATCCTTTTCATTTTTATTATTTTATTAAAATGAAATCTAAAAGTACGTAGAATTCATTAAAATTCTTATTAAAAATTAGTGCTTTCTTTTTATTGTTTTTAAAATATATTTTACAAGTTTTGTTTATTGAGTGGTTGTAAGAAAACAGATATTTTAATTAACTTTTTTATAGGTATAGTCCTAAATAAACAATGTAAATGACTTTTTTAAGATAGTGAATTTAATTCAGTTTAAGTATTTGGACATTGGAGTTGATTGAAGAAAAAACTATTTGCATTATGACTTGAGTAAGTTTAAGGCCTGAATATGATTTATAAAGGGGAACAGTTTGTGAGCCGTTAACGTACATTTGTGTACTGTCTGTTTTGTGTCTATTTGCGTCCTCCCAGGTTGTTCAACTCAACCGACACCGCTCACGAAATTCGTGATGGTCATTACACAATAATATCTTTCCTATATCTTGTATATGTACGAATCAACGCTGAATTTTTTGTACTACAATTAACTTCAATAGTATTTTTATTATTTGTTTTAAGAATTCACTTAGTATGTAGATTTTTTTGTAAAAAACAAATGAGTATTGCCTTGAATATTTACTTTACGTTTATAATATATAATATCACTTCAACCGTCTCAGAAAAGTTATTTCATAACTCTATTCAACTATTCTGCCGCGGCCAACTTCAAAAGTAAACTTTGTGAATAAGAGACAAAATATGTCGGAGTTATTTGGTTGATGCACAATAGCCTATACACGAGAATACGACGACCAACCTCCTCCGTAGTCCGTTGAACCAAACACGTTGCAGTTTCACAGAAAAAAATAAACAACACACTATTTACGATGAGAAATAATCACTTTATTTGTCAACTTAATGTTAATCGTCACTGAATAACGTACAGTTCAATAACTTTCAAGTTAAAATATTTTATAAAACAAGTTTTAAAACTCGTAGATTCACGAAGAAGTTGGACGCGAGCGTCCCACACGCGTGTATCAAGCGTGCCGGCCGGCGCAGAACTAGCTCGCAGGTCTCATTCCGTACAAAACTTTTAAGTCATGGAGACGGCAAAGCTATGTCGCGCCTCTACAACTCACGCACACAATCATACCCGACACCCTATGCACAAACACGAAAGCGAGCTTCCAAGTTCACTAAATAAACGAACACCAACACAAACGTGCACCAACACCGTCTACCCCCTGTTCATGAGACGTCCGAGCGGGACGCGTATATCAACAATGCATTTGGGACCGTAGGTGCGAGGGAGAGGTTGATACCGCAACAGATGTATATCATTTTACGCAGGTAAGTATTGAAAATGTTGGTGTGTATGAATGAGACGGCGTACAAATTTAGCTTAGGCAAAGCCGGTTGGGAGCGAATGGGACAGGAACTGTTCAAGTCACCCACTGTACATTCCTTCCTGATACCGGCGCGCCGTCGTACCTTTCGATCGTTCAAGTGGCAGATGAAGCTTTTAGGGATGTCACTCGATCAATTCGCGTACCGATAAAATTTGGGAACTTTAATTAGTAACAGGTTTTTTTAACTTTTTTTAAAATATAATTTTAATTAATTACTAAGGTAAAAATAATAACGATATTTATCAAAAAACGATACAGCATATTTATTAACTAAAATAATAAAAAAAGAAAATAGCTTAAAGTTGAAAGACAAACGTAAAAAAGGCTGAAGTCTGACATAAATATTTGCATTAACTTAGAACAATGAAACATCAAAATTTAGAGTCTGAGACTAGACTTGCGACGAATTTTGCAAGCTTATAAATGATTCAGGGGCGCGGGTAGCATCCTTACGTCAAGATGTCACAAAGTAGCAGGTAGTGTTGTAACGTATGCTGCAAAATTTTGTGAATGTTTTTTGCATAGAGCGCCATCTCAATTCTTTTTTTGAACTTACAATGAAGACATCTGCTTTAAAACGTGGTTTTTGTAACACTATATTATTATACAATTTATTTTAATTGGGGATCGCATTATACGTAATCGGGGTCGTTATTTTGACCCTTACGTTTAATGGATAGGTAGCTGAGTTTTAAAATGTTTTTACCCCTTCCATGAAGAGCTGTCATTGGCACCTGTTATATTGTTTGTTATCTATATATGTAGATTGTTGTTGTAAAATAATTAAAAAACATAGATTTTTTTTATATTTAGTATGTATATGACGATGATACACATATATGAACTTTTTACTAAATATTTTTATCTAACAATGATTGTTTCATTAATAAATTTAAAAATATATGTATGATGAAGTTCACCACGACTCGTGACCCAGGACTTGGTATAGAGCAATTCTTAACAAGATTCACAATTATTTTATTCTAGTCTGTGTATACCGGGTTTTGAAATTATACTTGTGCTAATAAACGCACCCACAAAAAAGGAGGGAATTACAGTTACATCGTAAGTTTTTTTATAATAAATAAAATATATTATCTACACAATATCTTGTGATAAAATAAATGCATAATTAAATGTAATTTCATCTGACCCATAAAATATAATTTTTAATAACATCTATATCAATATTAACCTTTATAACATTTTGTGTTCAAATTGATACTAAAGTTTGCTAATATACAAGTTAAGATTATTTTAATTGGGCTTAGATAAACTTCAATTTAACCAAAATTAGGTATTATTATTTTTTATGTTGAGAGCATAAGAGAATAATACTGATAAGAATAATTTGTATTTATTTAATCATAACTTAGAATAACTATAATAGAATATATTCTGTCATTGGTTGCGAAATGATAATTCTTAAAAAAAGAAATAAAAAACTATCATGTTCCGTTTTTAGGAACATGTCAGTGTTAATCACTGAAATTATTTTTTATTTAAACGTTTAAAAATCGAATAGAAAAAATAAAAGAAATAACAAAAACACGATCTAAATTGAGCTATTCGATTTGGTACAATGTGATATTAGAATTTTTTGTTCGATGTCGGTATCGAGTTTCCAAAAAAGTTTGTCCGTGCGTTGGGAGAGCGTCAAGCGAAACACTTCTGCGAAATTGGAGCCATGCGGCGAAGGCCTGACGGTAACACGCCACGACACCGTATCACAACACAATCCCTTCCCATGTAACTATCACACAAATTAGTGTAGTATAATGTTCACGCCCTTTATTTTTATACCTTTGTCAAACTTCATACGAAATGACAGCACAATACACTCACTCAGTAAAGTATACCATTTCTAGTGCACGATGCCCGAATACGAATAAGCCGTTTTGGCTATAGCCACATTCCTCCCGCGTTCTGTTCTGTAATCCTAAATAAAACTGACGTGGTGATCGCTTAAAAAAACAAAAATAACACGTGAAATATGACGTGTTTTTGACGGTTTGACACGGGTAACGTGTGCGGTACACTTCATTAACTTTTCGAAAACGAAATCCTGACAACGAGTACTTTAGCGGACATAGATGCGAACTCTGTACGGTCCAGATATAATATACCAGTAATACACACTTATCATAACCATTGTTTTATTATTATTACTTTTTGCCAACATTCATACAAGAGTAAACAACAAAGAGGTCCTACTTCAACGCTTAAAAGACTAGTATTCTTTGAAGTTTTTGCAGACGGTCAGCAGTTTTTTGTATGAAGAAGAAAAAAAAAGGAGTAATTTGTTCCACATGTATGATCACTAGATATAACTTTAGCTGATACTCAACTAATATTAATTCCATGCCATGGGCTAGTAAACTACGCGAAACAAATGCGTAGCGACGTGTCGAGCTCAGTAGAATGAAATGTTAAACTGTGAAGTTTCAAGAGCTGGCGGTATAACGTTCAATTGTTTTGACATGACGCCTCGCTAACGCTGTGAACATATAACGAAAAGAGGGCCGTGGCTCTATAAGCGCGAAATAATGACGACGCATTGTAGCTTCGCAGGATCAAGTAAGTCGCTATTATTTATTTCTTCAGAAGAGCTTCACAATAGAGTACCAAGGCTTAGCTGTCAGCGATACAATAAGCAGCTGTTCTACGTTTATTTTGAACGAGCTGCAGAGTAAGATGTGCGCCAGATGACGTAATGTTACCTGCCTTTAAGACATGATAAAAGAAATATGACGTCGACGTCATCTCTTAACTTGTAGTCCTTCGTGCTTATCTTTTGTGTCGGCCAATATTGTGCCTGGAGGCAAGTCTCGTGTATACTACGATGTTATTCATACAAAATTTTGTAGGAAGCTTAAATAACATTGATGAATGGGGACCGTGGAGCACGTAAGTCGATATCTCTTAGGAAATCATCTTGAAAGTCTAGGTGGGTAATATTCTACTGTAAAGAATTTAAACTATCCGAAGATAAAGCGATAGCATCGCTCACAATACATGCCCATGAATTTTTTCGCAGGAACCACGAGTTCAAACAGACGGCTTAGAGTAGCCAAAAAGCCAGAAATAGTCGGGGAAGCGTTGGTCAGAATATAATAGCAGCAATAACAAAAGTGAGTCGAGCTAACCATTGATTTGGATTTTACGTCGGTCCGACGAAAAAAATAAGTACCTTTGTGTTGCATCCGCAAAATTCTGACCAGTGGCTGTCATTCGAAAATGCATGTCCGACTGCATGGTAAGCCCGTTGGTATAATACAGGGCGACAGGTGAATACTAAGTGACGTTTTATATTGTGTGACCAGTTATCAGCTTTAGTGGTTCACACGACTTTCTCGTGAATCGTTAGGATTTGTTATTTCTACAAAGCGAAAAGTTGTTGTTGTATAAAATGAGTATTTGTTTGTACTTGTTTACTTTTGTAAAACCACAGATCATGATGTTATGGTGTTAGAAGAATAATGTTTTAATCCTCAGTTTCATATAAAATACTGTTAGCTTACTTTAAGCTTCTAACACTAGTTCAAACATTAAATTATAAAAGCCGATAACGAGAATGTGAAACATAGAGCGAGGCCACCACTTAATTTAAAACAAACATCGGCTAAACGCTGTTACAACAATTGTTGAACAATTTAGCAGCGCTCGGGCCAGTTCATCCGTATTTCCTACTTAATAAATGTCTGGTCGAAGAGTCGAGCCAGCCCGCACTGACGCTAACTTGACGGCAGCTTGACGTAGCAACGAACGCTTCTAAAAATGAAGCAGTTGTTCCACGTGAGAAGGTTTTTGTGGTAGCAATTATGAAACAATAGTGAACATTATTGATTTCGTTTGTTTTGGAGTGATTTTATTATATTATAAATATGCAAGTTCACTTTTATGGAAAGATTTAAGTGAGGAAGAGCCACGCTTCGGCATCGTTGGTCTAGTTGGCTCGATAAGTTGTCACTACGTTCAGTTCGCTTGTGTTGCATATTTTCATTGTTTCTCCTACACAATATTCAATTTCCCAACGCAGCGCTTGTATACTACTCGTTTACTCCTCTAGTTCTGCGGGTGCCCATGAGCGACGACGATTGCTTACCGTCATCAGGCGATCCGGCAGCTCGTTTGCCGCCTTATATTATAGAAAAAAACGGATTACTTAATTAATTTATGTCAAAGTGAAAACTTCAGACTATTTATTGGTAACGGACTTTTATTAAGTTAGGATATAACATGTCATTCGATACCTATGTAACAACTTACTCACACTCACTGAGAAAATCTCTAATAATTTCAAGTCAGCGAGGCCTTTTACCTTACCAGTCATTTATACGTATACTTACAGTAATAGCAACATTTACAAGACGAACAGACGTAAGGCAAAGAACATGTTAATGAAGAATCAATCAGGTGTAACAGGGATCGAATTGAGTCCGTCGCTGAGGGTAATCAATCAGGCGTCAGTGTTATTGTTGTGATTTGTTGCGGCATCGACTCCAGTCCAATCGGCCGGCCCTCCGGTAGCCATTAGGGTCCGTTCACACAGACCGGCTCGGAGAGGAGAGCAGATTCTTATCACGATGAAAACAGAGTTTTTAGTATGTGTATTAAGGTTTATTTTTTTATGTGCACAG